TTCACTGCTAACTTTGGTGCACTCTAGGCATTTCTTCAGGACAGAATAGGTTATGAAGCTTTTCCATGTTATTATACCTTTGTCTCATCTCACCACTCGTTTTCCCCATTGGACAACAATGTTAATAACAGACAACTTTTACTGAGCACTTACGACATGCCAGCATTTGTTCTAATGTGTTTACAGGTTGTATTAACTCATCTAAACAGTCCAACAACCCTGTAAGGTTTTATCCTCATTTGCATATGAGGAAACCAAGGCATAAAACTGTATTAAGTGAAAAAGTAAAATTAAGTAATGAACCAGCTAATGATCCTGAGAGAGCCAGTCACTAGACTATATGGTAACAATAATAAATACGTGTTTAAAGAAATAATTAGAAGGGCTTTTTTTTTTTTTCCCATGAGGCATACTGTATATTTCCAAACAGACTATTACTTCTTTTAGGACAGGATCTATAACCAATTCTTTAGCACCTCCTATTACTTTTAGGTCATAATGGAGACTCATTAAGGTCAACAAATTCACTTCTCTTTAAAACAGAAAATAGGAATAAAGCCAAATCACTTACAGTGTTTGTAGATTTCATTGACTGTATTGAAGTCATTTATGTCAGCCAGCAAAACAGTTGTTTTTACCACTAGAAGATACACACACTGCCATTAGGTTTAGCTATTTGGTCTGATCCAAAGCATTACTTAGAAAACAGCATATGGTTCTGTGACTATCTTGATTAAAATGGGACTGAAATTACAATTACTTTAAAAAGCAACAAAGATATGGCATGTCATATTGCTGGATGCCGTGTTCTTCAAAATGACCAAAACACTACCAAATAGAAATGTGAGGTAATATGAAGTTGCTCACCACTAGTGAAGTCACAGCCTGCAGCTTTCAGAATTTCACCCATGTTTGTAAGAGCCTATGAACCGAGGCAAAAAAGGCATAAGGCATTGATGTTCCAGTAAAGCTTTAATTCAGTTCGATTAATCATCTTTTATTAATACCTCCTTATATAGCTTATGTTGCAGAAAATTTTTCCCTGTCTTAGAAATTCTCTTTCTAGACCACCTGTACACAAGTGAACTGCTTCTTGTCTTTCTTCTAAAGGAATGAATCTTTCTGAAATACAATTAAGAAGATGTCTCCTTTTGTGAGTTAAAATATTGAAGTCTTTTCCTCAGGGCCTTTAAAACGTGTGACGTTCTCAGCTGACATCACTAAGCTGAAACAGAAATCATTTCTGGCATTCCTAACTCTGCATCACTTTGAGGGTAAGAATGCTAGTAAGCCTTAAAACATGTTTTCTTTTAAAGCAATATTTGATTTTAAATAGTTCTTCTTTCCTTCTCTCAAAAAATTACAATTTAGTAAATCATGTCTAAATTTAGAACTTTGGCCTTTGGAAGAACAAGTTGTTCACCCTTTCATCCTTGACTTACTGTTTTTTCAGTTCTTTCTTCCTCTCTACTGGTCACACTGTAATATTTGGAGATATCTTTGTTTTTTAAAAAACAATCTTCTAAATAGGTACTACATGGATATGGCAAGAAACTCAAAAGCTTAAAGCATCTGCAGTGAAAAGATGTCTCCCACTCTTCCTATCTCCCCAGTTCCCTTCATCAGAGGTGATCACTGTTTCCAGTTGCCTGTATCTCCTTCCAGAGACTGTCAGTGCTTCTACAGACACAAATGCCCTTCCACACACAGAAAGGGCAGCAGACTGTGCATGCTGCTCTGCACCTTGGCTTTTTATCATGTCTCAATTTACCATGGAGATCTTTCCAAACTAATTTAGTTGTATGGCTTTGGCCTAGTTAATTTAACTAGCTCTTCATGGATTAATATTTTCCTAATTTTAGATATTAAAAATGACTCACTGAATGCATTAAATTATAATTTGATTCTATTTATTAGGTTATAATTGTTATTTCCCGTTCTTATTTTAAAAAACTAAGAAAATTTCTCAATCCATGTGGAAATGGCAAGATGTCATCTGATTTCAGTAGTTTAGGGGTTTCCCCAACCCTGGTTTTACTGAGATACAACTGACATATAATATTAAATTTGTTCTAGTTATTTAACATGATAATTTGATATATGTATATATTGTGAAATGACAGCACAGCAAATTTAGCTAATATGCAATAATTCAGGTTTAAAGTCACCTTGGAAGGAGGAATTTTTTTTTGGTTGTTAAATGATTCAGCAAATTCTCAACTTTCTACTGATATAAAACTGCCTTAAATCAGTGAGGAACTTAAAAAGCAGTTACCTGGTAATCTCTATAAAACAAATCAGGCATGTGGATTCTTAATATTTCCTAATATTAAAAAGCAGTAGAAAAGGGAGCTTTAAATTGGAAAATGACTTACTTGTTTAGCTTCTTCTGCCACCCCTCCAGGCACAAGCTGTCCATTTGAGGGGTCCATGCCTAGCTGTCCTGAAATGTAAATGGTCCTGTCGACTAATACAGCTTGACTGCAATGAACAGAAATCCAGTTATATATAAAATAAAAATATAAAATAAAAAATTCAATGCTAAAAGATTTCTTTGCTAGGACACAAAGAACAAAATGTAAAATTAAAAAATTGGTAATTTTTTAATTTTAATGATTTCATTAAAAGTTAAAATTTTATTAAGAAAATAAAAGCACAAGTCATAGGTTGGGAGAAAATATTTGCAAAACAAGTATCTAAAAATGGACTTGTACCCAGAATATATATAGAATGCTTATAACTCAATAATAGGAGGACAAACAACCCAATAAAAAATGGGCAAGTGATTTGAAGAGATACTTCATAACAGTAGACATGCGAAGAGTATAAGAAAGATGCTGAACGTTAACGTTATTAGTCATTAGAGAAATGCAAACTAAAACCATAATTAGATACCACTACTGTCAATAAGACATCACTGATAATAACAAGTACTGGTGAGGAATATGGAGCAACTGGAACCCTTACACATCACTGGTGGGAATTCAAAATAGTAGAAACTTTGGAAAATAGTTCAACAGTTTCTTAAAAATTTAAACATATACTTAACCTACAAGTCGGTGATTTCTTTCCTAGAGAACTATGCAAAAGAAATGAAAACACATGTCTAAACACTTTACATGAATGTTCAGAACAGCATTATTTATGACAGCAAAAAAAAATAAATTTAAAAGAACACCCATTGATAGATCCAACTAAAGACTACAAATTATTTGATGCCACTTATATGAAATTCTAGAAAAGACAAAAGAATAGCAGCAGAAAGTAGGTTAGTGGGTGCCTGGGGTGAGGGGTAGATGTAGGGAATGACCACAGATAGGTATGAGGGAATTTGGGGGATGATGGAAATGTTCTGAAACTTGATTGTGGTAGTAGATGCATGATGCTATACATTTACCAAAACTCATGGAACTCTCATTTAAAAATTGGTGAATTTCATATGTAACTTACACTCGATGAAGCTGTAAAACAAAAAATTGCAATGTCAAGAGCCCTCTTAACAGTGAAAGGCCTCCCCTCTGTCCTTAACTTCCACCTGCTCAGTTCCCAGCCCCTACAGATAACCAGTGCTCTTCTTTATACAGTCTTCCAAAGTTGTTTCATGCATACATGAAGAAAAATGGGTATATGTTCCCTCCCGCTCCCCCACCTTCACACCACATATGGTATATTAACCACTCCTCTGCATTTTTTTTCACACACACAGTGTATCACAGTTTGTACCTAACTCTATGTAGACTGCTTCCTCATTCTTTAAACAGTTGCAGAGTATTTCATTGTTGGGTATACTTTAACTAGTAGTCATCACTGATTCTAATACTTTGCTATTGTAAACAAAACTACACTGAAAACCATCACACACACACACACACACACACTCATTTACCCTGAACAAGTGATTGAAACTTTTTTCCTTCTGAACCCCCGAGTTCTTCCAGTGGAACTTTTCTTACACAATGCACGGAATCCTACCTCATATTGTAGCTGGTAATGCTCTGATCTTATCACCTGGGGTATGCCAAACTGTGAACTTCTGGAAGGGTGGGGCACTGCCTAACTGTGTTCCTAGCTGTGTGGGGCCTGGGGATCCATCGCATTCAAGGGGCACAGGTAGCTTCTGTTGACATCCTGCTCACTAACCACTTAGTAGCTTAAACAGCTCTGGCTGTCAACCGAGGATCATTTTTGCAAGACCTACTGGCTTATAGTGGGGGCTTTGGAGAGCTGAAGAGGTAGATTTAAACTGGGTAACAGGATTTAGAAAGTCTGGGAATTCTTGTCAACTACCTGGCTCTCTGGCCCACAAAGATCACTACTGAGATTGTTAAAGTGTAAGCTTTTCTCAGCTTGAATAGTATCACCAGCTAATGCTGTTCCTAATTTTTTTTCCTATTTTTACCTTTTTTTGATATCATTAATCTACAATTACACGAGCAACATTATGTTGCTTCCCCCATCAAGTCCCCCCCAATACTCCATTACAGTCTAACATTTCTTTAACTGTCCTGTGTAGAATTAGGTTACCCTAGGTCCCTTGCAAAGTACCTTTAACTCTCCCCATATGTGAAACATAGTTAAAGCTCATATGCATTATCACTAGTCAAAACCTTCATGGCAATAAAAAAAAACTCCTTAATTCTTAGAAAATCAAAACTAAGCCCTGGACCTCTGAAACTATTCTAGCTATGAGGGCTCTCTCACACATTAGTAAAGAGACTGTTCACAAAAATAACTGGATCCTCCCTGAGCATAAGAACCCTACTATCCATAGACAAGTTATTAGACTCCAAAAACATAAAAGTGTTCTACTTCCATGACAAAGGGTAATAACACTTTCAAAAGCATCCTAGTGATAATGCTATCATAATCTATGCCACATGGACTATCACTTCAAAATGTTAGGACTCTTTGGCTGGTGTGCTAGCAAAACCAAAAGCAATGTGATAGCAATGCGCTGCGGACATCTCTCAAGGTTCCTTCGGTACAGAAAAGCACTAGAGGCAGAATGTCCTGGAGAATGCACACAATGATGCCGGCTGATGGCTTTTCTTTTGTCATACTGGCATATTCATATGATCCTCCTTTTTTTTGCTTGCAGCTTTATACAGATAGTTGACCCCCTCTTCCAAGACAACCAGGGGTATTACTGTCATACCTTCTTTCTTGAACAAAGTACACACTCAAGGAAGGTGTTGCACCAGGCTCTATAATTACTTTGTTTTTGTTTCTGTAAGATTTGCTTTGGTTCTGAAGTAAAACCACTCTGTGATTAGGGGAGAGGAATCAGGAGGAAAAATATCACTGGTTTTACTTTTATTGTAATATCCTCTTAATTATTCTTAACGTCTCTTTCTCCAAATTAGTATGGAATTCTCTTCTTAAAGAGAGCTGATCAAGTCACTTCCTCTTCAAAAACATTTGATGGCTCTTAGCACTGGAAACCATCACAATCTGGACCTTGGTAAAAGCTAATTTTTACCAAGAGGTAAAACAAATTCAAAGTCCAACTCCTAACGAATGTTTCCCAAAGTGTGGGTCATACACAAACATGAATCACAGTAAGGAAATGATTTCCCTTTCAGTTCTCTTTCAATTCTTCTGGGCAGGGGCAGCAAATGAAATGATTGCGACTGAGCTCCGGAGTTTGCTGCCTACATTCAAATTCTGTTGCACCACTACTTAGTGGGTAAATTATTTAACCATGTGCACATCAGTTTCTTCATCTGAAAAACAGGAACTCTGCAATATAAACCACTTAGGAAGAACAGTGCCCAGTGCTCAGTAAGCATCCATACATGTTAGCAGTTATGACTTGAATCGTCTGAGTACAAAAGGAGAATATCATTTTTAGAAAACCAGTTAAACATCACTTTTAACACAGAGCAGGCCTTGGGTTCTGAGCCAACTGCAGGATCTAGGTAGAATTTAATAACATTTTTTATTTAACTGAGTTTATTTTTTACTGTTACTTTCTATTGGCTTGCTTTCTGTTTAAGAGTACTGTTGTAAACTTTCCTTTTGAAGTTTGTTAAATAAAGTGGGCCATCTCAAAGAATAGTGGCTAGTAAATAATAATATAGCTGGTACACAGATTTGGCAATGAAAAAAATAGGGCAGAAGTACTGGGATTACTAAAACTTCCTCCAAAAATCTTTATTCTATGTATTCTTTGACCTCAGTGACTCAAGTCATTCCCTCTATCTGGAATGTGCTTTACCCCATGACTTCTTTTTGAGTCCTTAACAGCTATCCTAAAAATCAAACCTTACAATAGTACTATAAATGGCCAACCCAACCTTCAAGATCCAACTCCAGGACTACCTCTCACAAGGAGACTTCCTAAACCTTTTTCTTCCTCTGTCCCAAGTTCACTTCAACTTTCTTTCCCCTCTTTTGTCCGCCCCACATGCCGCCTCACTCCCATTCCATTTTATTTCTAGCCCTACTATAACAACTACTGTTCTGCCACATAAGAGTGCTACTTCTCATGGCAGTGTGGTATTGAGGAAGGAGCTAGGACTTGTGCACATCAAGTTCTGTCACTTACAGACCGTCTGACCTTGGACAAGTTCACTTTGGGCTTCAGTGTTCTTGCAAAATGGGGATGGGACTTAGAGAAGGAGTTGTCTCATTGTGTCTGCCATAGAGCATGCACTAAATTAAAATGCTCTTTCCCTTAGATGTGTGAATATCTATCACACATTGCTTCTTGTACATTTTTGTATCCCCTGCAGTGCTTGGCATAATAGGTAATACATGTCTGTTTTACTTCAAATGTTTCAGTTGCATAAGTTTTCCAGCTGTCATTCTTCTAACAGTAAACAGATACTATAAAACTATATTTTAAAGAGGAAAAACGGAAAAAGGGTTACAGGAGATACTTTAGTGAAAAATTAAAAATAACAAAAATTTTATTAGGAAAAAAAGTCTACAAGAATGCACAGGATAAGATCAGGTCATTTTAAAGTTGTGATGTGTTAAGAAAATAAACCTTTGTAAAAAAGGAATTAACCTATTTATATTAACAGTCCTTTGACAAGAGGAAATAAATGTAAACAGTGTAGACTTTCTAGCCAGTATACATATATTTAGCTAGAGCATGTCAGGGGCAATCTTAGATTTGCTAAGCATTTCTGCAAAAAGAACTCAGCTTTTGCGAGAAGGACACACACATCTGTTGATAGGTTTTACTCTTTTGATTTAAAGGAGGGTTAAACAACATTATGCTATGTGAAAGAAGTCAGTCACAAAGGATTACATTTATAGGAAATGTCCAGAACAGGCAGATCCATAGAAACCGAAAGTAGATTAGTGGTTGCCAAGGGCTGGGGAAAGAAAATGGGGAGGGACTGCTGGCAGGTATAGGGTTTCTTTTTGAGGTGGTTAAAATGTATGTCTTAAATTATATATAGTGATGGTTGCACTGTTTTGTGAGTGTAGCAAAAAGAAATCACTTAAGAGTACATGTTAAAGGGTGAACTTTATGAGTATGTGAATTACATCTCGATAAGCCAGTTACCACAAAAAAAAAAAAAAAAATACAGAAACAAAACACAGAATTCTAACCGGAGGAGCTTTCCTGTTTGGCTGGTGGCCAAGCGAGGCAGCTCCAGGTCTCCGGTTCCCAGCCGGGAGCTTGCTGAGGATCTGCGGGCGCGTTGACCCTTTTGCCCGGTTCAGCATGCTCACGAGGTTGGACAGGAGGAACCTCGAGGATCGCCCCAGCTCTGACCCGTCTGGCCTCCAGGGACCGAACTCCGGAACTCACACACCTCCGGAGTCCTGTCTGCGCACCCACATTCCCTTTTACCTGTAGGGACCAATAGCAGCTGGGGCTTTCGCAGTGCTGATCACCTTTCTGATCAGAGACGACATGGCAAACCCTTTTTTTCTACTGCCGCTCCTAGAAAAGAGCCCCGTACACTGACCGTGCTGGTCTCCCACCCGACTAAACCAGCCTGGCGGCGAGTCCCTGCGTTCAAGTGCGGGCCGGGGCGAATTCGCTCGGCATTCTGGGAGTTGTGGTCTCTGCGCGGCTCCGGGCCACGTGGAGGCCGCGGCCCCATTGGCGCATGCGCCTTCCAGCTCTCTCGCAGCGCCCGTCGCCTCGCAGGGGTCTGTCACAGAGCCTTGTCATTCTGATCCAGGGAACCCTGGGTTCCTCCCCCAGAGCGCCTGGCAGGTAGGTCGGTAGGGACTGGTGTCCTCCAGGGTCCACAAGTCTGTGGGGGAGTGTGTGTGGTGGCCCCCTCCCGGTGCCCGCGTGCTGGTCCGGCTCCCCGTCACGTCCTCTGTCTCTCAGACCTCACTGACCTCTTCCTTGCTTTCTGCGCCCGGGGCCCTCTCCAGACCCTGCACCTCCTCCGGGCCCTGTGCTCGAGCCCCCTACGCCTATTATTTCTCCTCTTTGCCCTGCGGGGCGGAGGCGGCCCTGGGACTGCGCTTTGCACCACCTCTCGTGACACCGTAAAGGAATCAGATGAGTCATTCAGGTGACCACCCTGAGATCTGAGCCTTGCCCACCTTCCCGCTTCTCTCTTGTTCTCTTTCTTAAGTGCTCTTCCAGCTTAACAAGGTCTCTATGAGTTCCCCTTTGATCTGAACGGAGCCTAATGGCTGGGATCTAATTTCAGAAAGGAAGATAAGATCCTGGTCCGACAAGGGTCCCAGGGCTGGTCTCTAGGTGAATATTCAGTCATGCTGTGTCAGAAGGGTTGGTACTTAGCTGTATATTTCTTATTCTGTTAATAAATACGTTACAGGCACGCTTCACTCCTTCATTTACTCGTGCACGTTTACATTTAGCAAATATGTGAACCCCTGCTTTGAGCAGGGCACTCTGCTAGGTGTGGAGATGCAACAGTGAAAAAGATAGGTAAGATCACTGTCCTATCCTGCTTCTAAAACGTGATATAAGAAATTCCTCTTTATTTTCCCTCATTTTGTACCACATACTGCTTTCCTAAGGTTTGGCTTTCCTGTTTCCTGCTGAAGAACCTTCAGAACCTTTTCACTGGTTTAGGCTTTAGCTTGGAATAAAAGACCTCTCAGTGCCTCTTTCTCCTTGCCTACTCAGTTTTGTCCTCTTCTGCTCTCTCTTCCTATTCTCGTCCAGAATTGTCATTCCTGAATTTACACAGTAGATTCCTGAATACTCTTTCTTCCCCATCCAAATTCCAACTAACTGAAATCCTATTTTTCCCTTGACTTTTCCTGCCAATTCACACTTTTTCTTTCCCTTTTCCAGTTTCCTATTGTGTTATACTGGAAAACTTAGTCTTCATTATATGTGGTTTTAGTCTCTAATTGTTTTGTGTTTTAAAAATAGTGAATAGAACCAGACTGCCTGGTTTGAATCCCAACATAATCACAAGGTTAGTGGCCTTGGGCTGCTCATGTTCCTTCTCTGTGCTTCAGTCTCTTCATTTATACAATGAGGATAGCACTAGTACCTCTCTCATAGAATTGTGAGAATTAAATTAGTAGGGCAGGTAGAATAGTACCTGGCACACAGTTCTCAGTAATCATTAGCTGCCGAGGACTACCAAATTCTTTAAGGAACCCTTTTACTACTTTGGTATGTATACACACAGCCTGAAACTTATTATGCACATAGTAGGTACCCAAATGCTTGTTAAATTTTATTAAACATGATGATTAGAAGATGCTTTTTATTTATAAAATAATTCACCAAATGATTATTTAAATAAGGAGCTCTCAGAGCATTACAAATCATTTAACTGTATAAAATATTTCCCTTTGATACACTACTGGTGGCAATGTAAGCTAGTTCAACCATTGTGGAAAGCAATATGGAGGTTCCTCAAAAAACTAAAAATAGAAATATCATTTGACCTGGGAATCCCACTCCTTGGAATTTACCCAAAGAATACAGTTTCTCAGATTCAAAAAGACATATGCACCCCTATGTTTATTACAGCACTTTTTACAGTAGCCAAGATATGGAAGCAACCTAAGTGTCCATCAGTAGGTGAATGGATAAAGAAGAGGTGGTACATGTACATAATGGAATATTATTCAGCCATAAGAAAGAAACAAATCCTACCATTTGCAGCAACATGGATTATGCTCAGTGAAATAAGCCAGGTGGAGAAAGACAAGTGCCAAATGATTTCACTCATATGTGGAGTATAACAATGAAGCCAAACCTAAGGAACAAAACGCAGCAGACTCAGAGACTCCAAGAATAAACTAGTGGTTACCAAAGGGGAGGGGTATTGGAGGGCGTGTGAGGAGGGAGGGAGAAGGGGGACTGAGGGGTATTATGTTTAGTACATATGGTGTGGGGGATCACGGGGAAAACAGTGCAGCACAGAGAAGGCACATAGTGACTCTGTGGCATCTTGCTTCACTGATGGACAGTGACTGCATTGGGGTATGGGTGGGGACTTGATAATATGGATAAATGTAGTAACCACATTGTTTTTTCATGTGAAACCTTTATAAGAGTATATCAATCATGCCTTAATAAAAAATTAAAAAGAAAATATTTCCCTTTGAAATGATACTTGTATTAGGACAGATTTCATTTCAAGTTTGAATCCCCAACTTTTTAGATCTGGAAGGAATCTGAGATCATCTGATTAATTAATTACCAGGTTTTCAAACTGGAGTTGGCTATACCAAGGGGTGCTTCTGGTCAACCAGGGATACTAAGTTCTATGAGAAAACATGACATGTCCAATTTATTTGGAGATTTGAAGGAAAACACTTTTATAAGGCCTAGCACATATTTAGTGCTCATTCAAATTTTGACTGAATGAATATGAAAACCAACACAAACTATGAATACTAGAAATAGTTGTAAAATTCACTTGAATGTCAAGAGTTAAGATTCTTTCTGGCAGCTATTTTAGACTAAATCCTTAGGTGTCATAAGCATGTGTTCTATATTTATTCTTTTCTGCTGTTTGAATTGTTTGAGGACCACTGCTAGATCAATCTGCTACTTTTTTAGTTTGGAACCTAAGCTCAGGTGGGGCTTCCAAAGGTTATCCCAGTCTTGAGTCCCAGCCCTCCTGGCCCACTATAGTCCTGAGCAGAGCCAGAGTTCCCAGGTAGTGTTCTGTCTTGCTGGGTAAGTTCTGATTCAAGCAGGTAATAGGAGGTGGACCACATTGTTTAGTAAAATAGCTTTGAGCAGTTCTTAATGCAGACTGATCTGATCCATGTTCTTCACTATCCAACTGGTTCTGCAGAACTCCATTTACTTCTCCGTATTTTTTAATGTGAAAAATGTTTTGGGTATAGGTATGGTTGTCTTTCACTTAGGTGAAAGCAGAATGGAGTGAGAAAATGAAATGACATAAATCTCTGTTGTTTCATTACTTAAGAGTAATACCTGCATTAACTAAGCTATTCATTTATGCACAGCCCCATGCTGTATGTTATGTACATTATCTTACTTAATTCTCACAGCAACCTTGCGATTATTCCCATTTATGGAGGAGGAGAGAGACTCCAAGAAGGAAAGTAATTTTCCTAAGCTTATACCACTAAAAAGTGTTAAGGAAGAGTAGTTGGATCTAGGTCTTTCTAACTCTTAAACACTACACCACATGGGTTACTCTTAACTTTGTGTTAAGTCTTGCTTTGGATAGGAGGTAAGTGAACGAATGGTAGTTAACTTGGTGGCATTAAGGGGGAGTGGTGTAAATCCTGATGGGCAGCTTGGAAGTTTGTTTTTGGTTGGCATAATGATTGTTGTAACACCACTGGCATTTATTGGGCAGGGACCGGGGATGTTAGGCATTCTGTAGCTGCAAAAATCCCAGAGTAGCCTAGTACTTAGCTGTTCTACATAAAAGCACAAAGTATTGCTTGCATGGTTTTAAAGTACACTGAATTTTCCAGGAGTGCAATAAATTAAGTCAAAATTGTACTTTTTTTTTTTTGGTAGTTTACAAGGAGTGTTTACTCATTTGGAAAATTATGTCACAGTAGTATTGCTACCTTGCCTTGAGGCATTAGTGTAAAACACCTATATCACCTTGTCTTTGTAGCTGTTGCATTCGTGGTAATTCTGTGTATAGGTACAGATAAAGACTAGTATTAAACTCTTGAAATGCTTTGAGAACAGCTTGGTTCTGCTACTTTGAGCTTCCTTACCTCTTAATGTCCCCTCCTTCATGCAGGACATACCTGATTTCCCTACAGTCAGCAAGGAAAGAGTTAATGATATCGCATGGAAGCTTTCTCCAGCTTTATGGATTGTGCTAATGCCTGTGTGTTGTGATTATCTCCTGGATTCAAAATATCTATTCCATAATGTCATCTAGTACAGTTGTGGTGAAATATTTACATATGGGAAATATATTGTTACTTTATTAAAATTAATTTTTAGTTCTCCTTTACCTTACAGTTAGGTCACATATTACAGGGCATGTATTGGTAAAAGTGATGTGTCTAGTAGGTTAGGTTATTAATGAATTTCACTTCAAAACAGAAAACAGACATTTCAAACTATTCAGGAAAAAAAAAGGCAGATGTTGAGTTTGAAAGTTGAACTCTCCTGAGTAAATCCATTAGGCTCTACCAGGTTTTTATCCTTCATCCTTCTTACTTCACATTGAAATCTTTTTGCTGTTACAAATTAAAGGCACAGCTGGTCTCATCTCAACAGAAAAAATGAAAACATCAGTGATTTATATTCTGTTTCTGTAGAGGTTATTTTGGAGTAGTGTGTTCTGTATTTCATTGCTTCAGGTGGCCTCTTCTTTCACTTTAAATTTAGATTAAATGATTTAGCTGATTTATTTTTTTCTCATGGCATAAGGATCTTATACCTCATTTTCATTCTTTAAACAGACTTTCTGCAGTGTCAGCATTGGAATGTGATTTAATTATTTGATGGTGCAAGCTAGAATGTGCTAATATGGACGCTTCCAACAGTAGAATAACTTTTTCTATTAAATCATGTTTTTTTGGTGTCAGTATCATTCATAGCTCCCCTAGACACCCCTGGTTAGGAATCCCTGCTGACGATCAATATCATGATAATACTTTGATATCAACCTACCTTTTATAAATGAAAATTCATTATATTGAAGAATCAAATTTTGAGTCACATGAATATTTATTTATTGCATTAATTTTTATTTTTGAATGGAAGTTCCCTTTCCTTGTACTGAATTTATTACTTTCTTTCCAGAAATGTCTAATGCAAAAGAAAGAAAACATGCTAAGAAAATGAGAAACCAACCCACCAATGTGACTTTATCCTCTGGCTTTGTGGCTGATAGAGGCATAAAGCACCATAATGAAGGGAGAAAACCTTTCCAAGCTCAAAAGCAAGGTAAGTACTTTCTGTACTCCCATTTGGATCAAATTGTTTTTGTCATTTCTTTTTGGGAGTCATTAATTAAATAGTGGATAACCTGAATTAAAAACTAATACAGTTGACCTTAATATTCACACATTTTGTATTTGTAAATTCACCTAGTTGCTCAAGTTTATTTGTAACCCCAAAATTAATACTCATGGCACTTGGTGGTCATTCATGAACACGTGAAGAATGGGGAAAAAATAGTTGCCTCATGTGGTTGTTCTTAGCCGAGGCTCCCAGCTGCCTTCTGGTTTCAGCTTTCGTGTGGAGATGACCAGAGGGTGGAGACTTAGTAGGTGGTACAGCACAGCGCAAAAAGCCCCCGCTCTGACTGGGGATTCCAGTTGTGGGCCAGCTGCACAGTGCAGGCAGATCGCTGAACACTCTGAACCTCATTTTCTCTTGGTAAAGTAAAGGAAACAGAATCTACCAGGATGAGTTGCTTTTACAATTTCAGATTATAATCTGAGTGAGGTGTGACTATATATATATATATATATATATATAT